CATTGACGCGGGAGAAGAAGTAAGGAGGAGCAGGTGTGGGGGGATTACAGCCGCCGTTAGACAGGCCCGATCTCAGAAGCAAGTTGCTGGAAGACTGCTCAGGTAAGCCTGCACTTTCCCACACATGGTGCTCTATAATGTATTGCTGGGATAGTGGGATTTGTATTCCTCTATAGCTGATGGTACATTGTGCTGTGCATTATACAGAGCAATGTACCATCAGCTATAGAGGACTACAAATCCCAGCAATACATTATACACTCTATGTATAATGTATTGCTGGCATTTGTTGTAGTCCTTTATAGTTGGTGGTATTCTGGATTGCGCTGTATAGAGGACTACAAATCCCAGCAATAATACATTATACAGCGCAATGCAGAATACTACCAGCTATAGAGGAGTACAACAAATCCCAGCAATAATAAATTATACAGTGGTGCAATGCCAAATACCACTAGCTATAGAGGACTACAAAACCCAGCAATAGTACATTATACAGCACAATGCAGAATACCAGCAGCTATAATGTACTATTGCTGGGATTTGTTGTAGTCCTCTATAGCTGGTGGTATTCTGCATTGTGCTGTATAATGTACTGTTTCTAGGTTTTGTAGTCCTCTATAGCCGGTGCCATTCTGCATTCATTGCTGTATAACTTTACACTTTCCATTTCACTATATTGCACACCACACTTTTTTTTTTCTTTTTTACTTCCACCGCTCCAAGCTTGCTCCTGTGATGGACTACAATCTCACTACGAACTCGAACTTAATAATCGGCTAACTAATCGATTTTTAAAATAATCGTAAGCTTCAGCTCTGCAGCTGCCGCTTGTAAACGCCAGATTAGGGATTCCTGCTGCAGGAAAACGCAAGTTCCTGACACAGAAATCCCTAATCGCACCAAAACGTACAGATGTGAACGGAGCCTAATACACTAACCCTGCAACACGCTCCACACCCCCTCCCCCCGTCCCCCCCTCGCATATGAAATAAAATTCTGTTAATAAAGATTGATGAATACTTATTATTTCTAGGTCAGGCATACCAGACCTTTGGTGAGAGGAACCTCTGTGGACTAAAACACATGCACAGGACCTAATTACCTAGTTATCAGATAAGGCCTGTTATACAGTTAAATCAGGGGCGGATAACATAATTCAGAAGCCTGTCCAATCCAGGAGCCAATGGGATTTTCTTTTAGTAACCAGCTTCATTGACAACAACTAGAGAAAAACCTCAAAGGTTAGGCACCAGGGGTACCATTTCAGGGGCATTGGCTACCTGGCTCCTGCGATTTGTCCAGCCCTGAGTTAAGAGAAGATTTGGAATTGTGCGCCAGTTGGAAACACTGACTTTCCATGACATACTAAAGGTGCTTGTGGTGGAAATCGTGACACAGCTAGGTAAAATGGATTTGCCTAGCTGCATTGCTGCCTCTGAAAGCTTAATATAGTACCTGAAAGAGCCCACGCCCTGATATTTCCATGTAGGTGTGGTGTCTGTATCACCGCAGGTTGAGTGCAGACGTCACCATGCTTTTCATAACCTTTAGCCCAGAATACACCTTATCTGTTAATGAATACAGCAGTTGTGGATCTGCTGTATGATTTCATATCTCAGCATTTTCCTACACTGTGTCATAGACAAAGAAATTTGCAACCAAGTATTGTTTAATGGGATTTTCCTTGTGACATTTTATTTGTAATTGTATAATTTCCCAAAGGTTATGCACTTATTTCTTGTATCATAATCCGTTGAAGTTACCTGTGTGAAAACGAGTGGTTTTGGGCTTTAGTTATTGGCAGTAACTCAGAAAAGATCTGCACTATGTCCTGGGTGTATTATATAGTTCTCTGATTTTAGAAATAGACATGTATTGACTGATGGAATCTGCATACTATTACAAATGAAATGCTGGTTACCAAACTCACTGTAATAGGGAACTTTCATATCAGACTAAATATAGATTGCTTTGGTTCTTGTGAGTCCATTCAAGTCCCTATCATTTCTTTTTGCAGATGAAGTCCCGATGAAGGGGTAGTGTTGTTGCCCTCGAAATGCATTGGCTGTTTTTGTGTGACCACATTTTGAACAAATTTGATTTTCAGCTTTTGGTTTGGCACCAATTTCTGCATATCTATATTTTGCATTATAAATAATGTTTCGTTCTGTAGACTACAGTAAATTGATGAGAGATACAATCTGATAGGTCGTTTGGGTAAATGTGCATCATTGACCTTAGCAATGCTTTGTAAGAGAGTAGATAAAAGCTGACACTGGTAATATTCCTGTGGGATGAACAATTGTATATTCGCAGGAGCCCCTTAAAGCAGACCTTTACCCATATCTTTAAAATAACAACAAACATACCTTTAGAAATGCTTAGTAATGACAATCTTCAAACACATACTTCTAGATAATTGCCGGCTTTATATTCTCTACATACCTTATATCTCTTTTCCCCCCCAGTCTTCTGGCAGTGTCCATATTTACTAAGGGCAGATTTCTAGATCTCCCTTTACTTCCTGGAACTCTGGCACATGTGACTAGGACATGTGACCATGCACATCATCTCAGGGGAGGAAAATGCCTTTCCCTGAGATCTCATGAGATTTCAAAATACATTTCCTAGCAATTTTACCCTTACAAAGCAGGAAGTGAATGCTCTGCAAGTGTAAGTATTTCAAAATCTCAGCATTTTATACCTGACATGTCCATGTTATTATTAATCATCATACATAGAGGGATGCATTGGAAGAATTAGATTTTTGAGTGTAAGGGGCCGCTTTAAATAGTCTGTGTAAACAGCTTCTGGAACCTGGCTCTCCCATTGTTTTCATTCTAAAGCTTTCGGTATTGAATTATGAATTTGTTGTTTTCAGTAGACCTAACACTTGATTCAATTGACTGTTCTAAAAGCAGAATTCATTGTTTGTTGATCACTAAATCAGATTACTAGGTTGTATCACAGCAACAGTTACGTGTTATACAATTGCCCTACTGCTTTTCTTGTCCCTTATTCCTCATTAATGTGCCATATTATTTATGAAGTATGGACCAAGGAAGTCTCTCTGGTGTATGTTTGCATGTATGTGTGTGTGCAAATACAGAGTTGAAGAGAAGATGTGTTGTCACTGTTTACATTTTATGGTGTTGTTTCTCACCGTTTCAGATTCCATAGATTTGATCAGTACTTGTGTAATATGCCATGGGTGCACATTCCAGTGCATACTAGGATGCTGACTGCCTTTATGAACTATAATGATGTATCATGCAAAGCATACAGAATTTGTTACCATCAGCAAGATAATAAATTAATGTATTTATCAATTAAATATGAATTCTGTGGTCCGGGTCCATGCTGATCTCCTTCTTGGAAGACAGTTTATATATCTGTAGTAAATGAAGCAATGCTGGCTGCATTTAGAAACAATATGATGTTAGTTTTGTGCAAAACACCTACTTATACATTTAACAAATTTTTTGAAATTTTATAACATAAAGTGACATTAAACCCTCAGATTGTTTAACATAAACCAATACTGTAATGTGTACCTTACTGTAATCCATGGTTGTTTCCCTTCTCTTTGCTGCTCTTCCTTTTAAATCCTCATGTCTTCTCATGCTTGGGGAGAACTTCCCTTTTCAGCTCAGGGCCTCTTCCTGTTGTGCTGGCTCAGGTTTCAAGCCTATAGAAACTAATACACAGACACCGTGTATCCATTCCTGAGACAAGGCAGTCTGCTGCAAAACAACTAGCTAGCGAGAACAGATACAGATTTAAAAGGAAGAGCAGCAAAGAGAAGGGAAACAACCATGGATTACAGTAAGGCGCACATTACAATATTGTTTTATGTGAAAAAATCTGAGGGTTTAATGTCACTTTAAGTCGTGGTGCATATGTTAGATGATGTTGTTTTGAGGCCCTTTTGACCCCATGAGCTTTGTGATTGTTGTCCAAATATATTTTCAATATAAGATATTATTCGGGAACTTTGTTGTGTTTATGGTCATGTTAGTCTTTTTTCATATCATACATGTTATCTCATTATTACAGAAAGTATTATTCTTGTTATATGCATTAGGGATGTTCCGATTCTATTATCGGTATCAGTGTCCATTAGGGCTGCAGCTAACGATTATTTTCATAATCGATTAGTTAGCCGATTATTAAGTTTGATTAATCGATTAATCGGATTTTAAAAAAAGGCTCCAGTGATGGACTACTAGTTTCTATTGAGATTGTAGTCCATCACGGGAGCAAGCTTGGCGCGGTGGAAACTGTTGCAGCTCTAGTGTCCATACTGAATATTTGGGTGAGTACTCTTACTTGCCCGAATGCTCCCGATACCGGAACTTCCGGCATCAGAAAGCCGGGTGCCAAGTCATTACACACTGTCCGGCTTCCTGATTGGCTGCGAAGCCGGCTCCATGCTCCCTTGTCACCAAGGAGCATGAGCTGGCTTCCTAGCCAATCAGGAAGCCGGGGGATGGGTTATGACTCAGCTCCCAGCTTTCTGATTGGTCAGGAAACCGGCTCCATGCTCCCCCGTCACTTGGTGCATCCCGGCCAATCAAGAAGCATGTAATGACTCACCGCCCAGCTTCCTGATTGGTCGGGAAGCTGACCAATCAGGAAGCCGGGCAGCGAGTCATTACCTGCCCCCTGGCTTCCTGATTAGCCAGAAAGCCGGCTCCATGCTTCCTTGTCACCTGGTGACGAGGGAGCATGGAGACGGCTTCCCCACTAATTACACCCCACCTGGATCATCAGAAAGCCGGGTGGCAAGTCGTTACACGCCGCCCAACTTCCTTAAAGGGACTTCCGGTATCAGTATTCAGTAAAAAATATATCGGTACTCAATACCGAAAAAACGATATCGGTGCATCGCTAATATGCATATATTTTTTGTGATCATTTGTTCTTTGCAAGTATTATTTTAAACAGGTTTAAAATGTGTTTTTAACCTTATTTTTCCTTCTTTTATTTTTTTGCAGAGTCTTGGAACTAACTGCATAAATGAACAGAGTACTCATTCACATCAGCTCCAGATGACTTACAACTAATAAAGGTAGTTCTCTTTCTTCCTTGGTACAAGTAGTCGCTGTGCCGTCTGCACATGTGGGCTGCAGAGTCAAGTTTCTGGAACTTGACTACTGTATTTTTGCAGATTTGTCTTTTTCTGTGTAAATTGAGCACATCAGATCCCTTATAAGCCTGCGGTTTTCGAACGCATGTCATTTGAAATGGTGTTAAAGCACGATTTACAGCCAAAAGGAGCATTAGTGTTACGTTTCAGCATGCACTGGCCTCATTGTAACATTATGAAATGAATAAATCCCTTTGGGTTTCTTACTCTTTTAAACCGAGCCAAAAACCAGGGAACTGAGGAGATTTGGGGTAACATTCTAAGCAGTTTAATTGTTATGAAATCTCAGCCAAAGCTGCAGAAAGCATTGCATACTCTAAGCAGAAAAGCTTTGCCTGTAATAAGCTGCCTCGTTCATGGAATCCGGGACCTTGCCGTTACGGGATGGTTCAGAACAATGAAAGTAAGAATGCGGAGGGCTAGCTAAGAAAGAAATCTGTATCCGTAACTGTTCAGCCAGGTAACTGGAAACTTTTTTCTCTGTGCAGATGTCTACAGCAGCGGAAAATGGAAATGCAACAGGCGAAAAAACAAATGGAGAGAAAACCTACAAAAAGGTATGTGGGACAAAGCACCAGTTTACAGTGTACAATATGCAGTTTATTGCAGATGTGAAGCTGCTTTCTTTAGTCCTGCCTAAGTTGTACTTGATTTTTTTAGCAAGGGTGGAAATAAATAGGTGGCTTTACATACTATTTTGTACTCAGAATTTCCACGATATACTTATATACTAATATACTTTTTTTTTTTAAATACAATTCAGCAGGCTAAAGCATTTAAAGTGACATTAAATCCTTGTTTTTTTATTTGAAACCAGCATTGTTTATGCCAATGTATTTAATTAGATTTTTTCTCTTTTTTTTAAATCGCACCATTTAATTTATATACATAGTTAGTCAGGTTGAAAGAAGACACAAGCCCATCGAGTTCAACCTATACAGATACAGAGAAAAAACAAAAACATTTCCAGCAGCTGTCATACTGTGGCCCCCTCCCCTCCTGTTTATGGGTCTCCTTTGCCTAGCAGGTTGCAAATGAGTCACCCTTTGCTTGACTCAGTTTAGCCGGAACTTAGCAGAACTGTGTGCGTCCACTGACACACAGTGTTTGACAAGTCACGCCCCTGTTCCTGCCTCCTCCCTCCTCACAGTAATTCGACAGGCAGGTGCAGCAGCCTATTGCTACCCTGCCTCAGTGGCTTTGGAATCCCGCCCCTCAACACAGAACTTTGGGGAAACAGAGCAGATTGTCCGGGAGCCGGCGGCAGTGATCATGGACCCTGGGTGGGGGGGGCATGGAAAGGTAGCATACCTTATTTTTCTCCCCATTTTTCTCACATTGGTCATTCTCACTAAGGGCAGATTAATTAATCTCCCTTTACTTCCTACAACTCTGCGTCTGCCTTCTGAAACATGTGACAGTTCACATAATCTGAGTGGGAAAAATTTTGCAGTTTACAGATGAGATTTCCCAGGAAGGCAGTGGGGATTTCACCTTCCCTGGATGCATCTGTAAGGCCAAGACTACATCACCAGTGCCCCACTCAACCAGGAAGCGGAAAAAATGAATAATTATAAGTAAAAAATGTTTGTTTAATGAACTGAATGTAAGATGTTTTTATGTCAGAGTTGAATGCTGATGTTATTTTTAGCGAAAGCGAGTGAAGGTTCCTTTTAAAAAAATGTGAGTAAAATACCTGAGTTGCCTAATTCTTTGTACAGTATTACTGCACCTCATTCGGAGCTAGGTGGAGAATTATCATCTGAACAGTGACTGCACCCTATCAGACAGTCACTGTTCAGGTATTCACTGTACTATGAATGGACATTTCTCCATTCATTCTGATAACTTGGGTGGAGGAATCTATTGATTTTCTCTCTCTTAGCCTGCAGGGCTGAATAGGAGAAATCTAGCCATGTATGGCTAGCAATAGTTCTGCAGGTTACCTGAAATATGAAAGTTTTCTTTTATTTATCCTGATTGATCCTTGAATTTGATATAGGATGAATAGCTTGACATGTAAACAGGGATTTTATGTACTTTAGTTTTAGATCTCTAATATATTTTGACGCTTGAAATATGATCGTTATTAATTTCCTGTTTGGCAAGAAAGCAAAGAGTGGGGGTTATGAACTGAGCAAATGCCATGTTGTTTTCATTATCATTTATGAATCTTAGGGCTTTAGAACTGAAACAAGATCATCCTGCAGGCTGTAATTGTTAATATGGTCATACTTTTGGCATCTCAAAGAAAACAAGGAGTGTTTTTTATGACCTGGGCAGAGATCATTATGCTTTATCGATGTCTCTGCTTTCAGTTTTAAATATGTGCTAATTCCGTTTGCTTGGTGCTCTGCGGTGGCCTTGGTGTAAACGGAGGCACACATTTTAAGCTATCTTGATTTAATTTTGCACCGAGGTTCAGTTCACATAGCTAACACACTAGGATATGGATCTTTATTTTCCAAAAAGTTCAAAAGTCCAATGAGATTTGAAAATTACAGCCACATGACTAAAATAAAGATTCTTGTTGTTGTGTTAAAACTTTGAAAATTTGAAGGCAGCTGAGTGAATAACCCAGCCGAAGTGAAGTGAGACGAACGCCGTTCGGCTATTCACTTCTGGCTTGCACGGCTGATTTCAGCCGTACATCGGCTAAAATCAACCATACATCGGCTACCTTCGGTCAGCCGAACATGCTCTGCATGTTCGGCTGAGCCGAAGTGCAGGAGAACTTTTACTCAGCCGATCCAACATCTGAATCGGCTGAGCCGAAGCTCCGGCAGCTCACTTGATTCCATTCGCCCCTATGATCATAGGGGCCGAACGGCAGTAAGTGAATAGCCGAATGCCGCCGAGCGGCATTCTGCTCGGTACCTCTGAGGTACCGAGCAGAATAGAAAATAAGTGGAAAAAAAGTGAAAAAAAAAGTTGAAAAATTGTTTTAAAATTTAGAAAAAGGTAAAAAAAGAGAAAATTACAAATAATTTTTTAAAACGCAGGCAAAGATAGCGCCAAAAGAAAAACCATTGGGCGGAGTTAGCAGTGACAGCTAGCTCCGCCCAACTGACGTCATGGCCAGCTCCGCCCAGTTGTTATTGTTTAATAACAGATCAGCGTCCCAAGGTCATTTGGGGACGCTGATCTGTCATTGCAACTGGGTGGAGCCAGCCGTGAGATCACGGCTGGCTCCGCCCAGCTGTAATTTTGGCTGTCACTTGGCTGTGAATCGCCCGTACACCAGCCCTTCGGTTTGACTGAACCGTAGGGCTCCAGCGGCCAAAGAGAGCTGAAGAATCAGCCGAAGCTACGGCTGTATCCTTCAGCTCAATAGTGAATAACCCTCTAAGTTTCTGGTCTGTAATAAAGATAGTTAAAAACTGATGGTTTGCTATGAGAAGTAAAAATTTTTATGATTAGCACACTTTTCACACATCAAACTGTTCAAATGTATCTGACTTGGTGCAAAATGTTTCTAAAGGTGGCCATACATTGTATGATTTTTTTCGTGAAAAATTAACCCTCGTTCGATTATACCTAGACTTGCCCATCAAGCATAGTCACATGTCGATTTCGGAAATCGTTTGTTAGTCATACTAACCAACCAATTTTTGGTTGGTTGCGGATGTGCTGTGTTCTTGCTGAGATTTTTGACAAACGAAAACCCCACTGATTCATTGATTTTCATTCGGGCAGAGAAACATTTTCCTACCTGACCAATCGAAACATTTCGATCACAATATCAAAAACGAAAATCCATGATGTACCGTCGACTGTTCAATTATAGTGTGAAAGAACATTCATGTTGAATTTCCGAACGAAAATCGCACAGTGTATGGGGACCTTTAGATATGCTGATGCAAAGACGTCACTATGATGGCGATATTCAGAGGATATAAATATAGCTTAATCAACCAGGCAATGGCCCATACATGTGATCTTTTTAAAAACTTTTTGCACCATGCACTTTCACTTTGCACTCTGTGCCGAAACATGTTGGGATGGTACTAGGGGGCACAGATTAATTTTATCTGAGGATTAGTGGAACTCAAAAGAGGGAAAAGGAAAACTAGAAATAGACAGCTAGATGGTTGAGTAGAAATTAGAAGAGAAAAGACATAGAAAGGCAACAGAGTTAAGCAGATAAAAGTTTGAGAACTACCTTTCCTCAGCAAGATATACGGGAGATACACCAAGAGAATTTGGGAGAATCTAAATCAATTATTTTTTAATATTTTTTAAAAGGTTATGTTTGAAAAAAAGCTGTTTTAGCCTAAGGGTGAGATACATGGATGACAAAATGCATCATCCTGGAACTTTATTATGAAATGTTTTCAAGATAACAGCAGTGATGATTATTTGCCATCACCTTTTGTTGGTACATGTAATAAGCTGGCCATGCACTGTGCATTTTTTTTAGTTCCGCTCCGTTGGCTGAATGAGATAAAAACGCTTCCTCGCTGTTCGACTGAGAGATTTCAAACTGACTCCATCGACAACAGTTGATTTTGTCAAACAGAGGGATGATGATGGGGCCACACACTGGTTGACGCTCAGCCAAGTCAGCAGTACATGGCCAAAATTCGAGCAGTCTATGGCCAGCTTTAGTCATCATATTGCTCCCTGTGGAGCTCCTTGGATCCTAGACCCACACTGTACTTTGAGACTTGACTTGTTTTTTCATACATACTTTATTTAGCAATGTCATAAAATAACACAACATGGGAAGAACATCAATCAATAGATCAGAGACGTATACAGAATATAGTCACACTCAAACAGATAGCGTAATCTAGCAGACAACTAGAACTGTATCCAGCTCCTTTATGATTATCCAGATATCACATACGCCTGTGGTTGGGACCATGGTTTGGAAACTTGACTTCTGCCCAGGTTTGTGAGGTGAAGCTCCACTCTTTCAGGTCATAAGAACCACCACTGTCATTTAGCTGCTAAATGCCAGAGACAGGGTGGGGTTTAGAGCCAGGAGGGGATGGCGATTAATCTCAACTCGAGCAGATATTGAGATCCTATCACACCTGGGCCTAGGACCTAGGGTGCTTCACAGGGATACTGGCACAGTGAAAGACTAACGCAGGTACTTGCAGGCACTATAAGTCACCTTTACTTAATCATTACCTTTAAAATTTTCAGGCCAGGTCTGCTTCACTTCATATATTGTTATAAATATATTTATGAGTTATGCATTATTAAAGACTCAATACAAACAGAGTGGCATGTAATTAAGGTCTGTCATCTGTGTCTGTGTGCTAGTTTAACCAGCAGTACTTATATATATACAGTATATATATATATATATAGATATACTTTAACTGTGGTATGGCTGCAGACAAAACCCTCAGTATTATAGACAAAATTGTGATTTATTTTTAGATTGTTTTGTTTTTTTACTTAAAAGTTTATGTATTAGAGGAAATAACACTACAGGTCAGGTGGTAATGGATTCTAGAACTCTGCAGAGTTTTTTTTAAGGGACTTAAAGGAGAACTAAGGGGTTGGGGCTTTTCCCCCTAGTTCTCCTTAGGGTAATGGGAGG